TGACAGAAGAGTGACGCCGAAGAGCCGGGGTTAGCAGGTGGCTTGGTGCTGGACTCCCACGTGGCTGGCCACAGTTTGAGAGTAGGACCAGGTGGCTTGCTTTCTCACTTTCCCTTTCTCTCTGTCTCTGTCTCTCTTTCTCAGGTGAGCACATGCACCTTATGGCAAAACAAAACAAAACAAAACAAAAACCTCTTAAAAAATAGCCTTGAGCAGCAGATAGTGTTTGTATAGCGGGCAAAGGGCAGAAGGCTGTTCTGGACCGAGTGGCAGAATGCACACACGCACGAAGGTGGAAGTCACTGGGAAATGGCACGTCAGGGTGGGACCAGCGTGTGACAGAGAGACAAAGTGAGGGAGGGCGATTTCAGTAGAAAGGAGCTCCGCGCTGCTGGGGCTTGGCCAACGCAGGATCGTGGCTGGGAGGGTGGGACAAGGGAGCTCTCGAGGCTGGGCCAGTCAGCATGCGAGACCTGAGAAGTCTTACCCCAGTCCCATGATACTCAGGGCCCTTAGACCAACTGTCCCCTCCCTGGCACCCCCACCGCTCCTTATCTCCAGGTAGAATATTACTCACCGCCAGATCTGAGCGAAACTGTCGTGTCCTCCAAGAAGTCTGCCCTGCCCTTTCAACTTCAATTAGATTCCCCTGCTATCCACTCTCATCCAATTATTCTCTTTCACCTCAGCATCAAGATTCATAGTGCCGCGAGTCTGTGACTGCTCAGCACTCCCTCCCCCACTGCACTGCAAAGCCCAGAAGGCCAGGGCTGTCTTTCCCCTTGGTCCATCCCCACGGCTGACAGATAGCGAGTTTTCAGTAAGAGCCGGCCGGGGCCAGCAGGTGGCATGGTGGTTAAGGCGCTGGACTCCCAAGTGGCCCGCTGTGATTCGAGTCCCACACCAGGTGCTTGAAACTCATGCCGCATGTGTGTGTGCCCCAAAATCCCAAGAGGAGAATGGAGGAAAAGGGATTGTAGCATGACTACCTTCCCCCCCCCACCCGGGGGTGGTGGTGATTTTTCACTTTCTCTCTCTCTATCTCTCTGCTGAGTGCTATAGTGAAGTTCTCTTAAAAACATAAGATAAATGAAGTGTTGGCTGAACACTGAGTGAAGGAGTAACAGCTAAGGGAAGAATCGCTGCATAGGAGCCGGCCCTCCTGCACCCACCACAGAAACGCATCTATGAGAGACCGACCGCAGTCTGGTGAAAGGCGCACGGGCTGGAAGGCAGAGCTGGGCCCGGCTTTTACACTCCACTGCCTTTTTTTTTTCTTTGAGAGAGGTTTTCGCTATAGGGCACGTGCCCTCGCCAGACAGACAGAGAGAGACATAGAGACAGAAAGCGAGAAATCACCCCCCAGGGGGGATGGTCACGCCGCAATCCCTTCTCCTCCATTCTCCTCTCGGGATCTTGGGCACGCACGCACATGTGCCTGGCGTGAGTTTTAAGCCACCGGGTCTGGGACACGAACCGTGGTCGACTACGTGGGAGTCCGGCGACATAGCCATTACACTAACTGCTGGTTCCCTCCACTGCCTATTCTTGAGACCACATCCAAACTCCAATTTGTTAGATGAACTGTCTTTCTTCTTGACATCATCGCCTCAGCCTCGATTTCTCATTTATAAAATTGAGGTAATAAAATATGCCCCTCTTAACTCTACTCTGTAGGAAAACGCACTGAGACTTAAAACACCCCATTATGTAGGTAAACTACTACAGAAATATAAAAATGTTTTCCCATAGTATCAATGTGTACAGATAGAAAGGGTCTTCAGAAAGTCCACCGAAAGTGTGCGTTATGAAAAACTATGGATGGATTTCAAATTTTTTTGCAACCTAGATTAAATCATACTTTAATTGTACTTTCCACGAACTTTTTGAAATCCCCTAGTATTTGTGCCTAAATCCTATATCTAATGTTTATTGGCAATTGTCAAATGAACGTGCTTGATTTTTCATCCATGTTTACTGCACAAATCTTGTTTTATATCAGCTGATAGAAAGCAAAAAAAAAAAAGAAGAAGAAGAAAAAGAAAAGGAAAGAAGCCAAGCTCTGTGTTTTGATGACCAGGATGAATAATGAGGTATTACTGGCTAGGTCTGTGCCAGACATGCTGGGGAAAATGCATGCCCTTTTCATTTACTCCCAGGCACTAATGGCTTCAATAAAAGTAGCATAGCATTTAAGAGGACTAGATAATTAGCCTTGACGAAATGCAAGCCCAGAATTCTCATGAATGAATTAGCTCATCCCTACTCTGGACACTGAGCGTTTGCTTTCTCACTCGACATCCGAATGAGGACTTAGGAACAGCTGGAGACTGGAGTGACTGAAGCCAGGGGGTTGTCTGGGAAGGGCTTAGACGGGAAACACCAGCCAGTTAGGGTAATGCTGTTATATTGATGATGGTCTTAAAGGCACAGCGGTGCCAAGCAAAACTAGGGATTACAGAGAAAAGCCACGCTCCTATCTCTCTAGCATTAGGCACAGTTTGCAGCTGATTGAGATGCTGGACCATAGGCGGGATCGCAAGGGAGGTGTGCTGGGATGCTCTTTGGCATATTGGCTTTGGCATATTTTAAGCATATCGCACTTTTTTTTTTCTTTTTTTAGAGGTTTTTGTTATAGGGTGCATGCGCTCGCCAGAAAGACAGAGACAGAGAGACAGAAAGCAAGAAATTACCCCCCGGGGGGGATGACCATGCCGCAATCCCTTCTCCTCTATTCTCCTCTCGAGATCTTGGGGACACACGCACACGTGCCAGGTGCGAGTTTAAGCCACCGGGTCCGGGACTCGAACTGCGGTCGACTACATGGAAGTTCAGCAACATAGCCATTATGCTAACTGCTGGTCCCACACCGCACATTTTTAATGCAAACAAATGTATGGAGCACCTACTGTGTGTTCTAGTGTCCTGGGCCCAGCCCCTCCAAGCCCAGCCCAGGACACTGACACGTGGCGGTGTGCCAACCGTACCCCCTCATCCTGTCCACATACACGCCTTGAGGAAAAGATGGGGGCCATTTCCCGAGCACCACGTGCAAGCCTGGCCACCTCCCTGCCAGGACAGCTATGTACGTTGAAGTACGTTCCTAGCAAACGGACAGGTTGTGAGCTCTAACATCTGGTGTTACGTGGAAGAGCTGGGAGGCCTAGAACAAGCAAGGCCATGTGCATGGCTCATGTGGCTCAGACTTGCGGAGACCCCACTGCCAGAGACTCCACAGCTGTATCCTGTGTGGCTCCTGGGAGGAGCCTAGAAGCTGCAGGGGACAGAGGCAGATTTCAGCTCAATAAAAAAGTCTTCCATGGTTGGGCCAGGAGGTGGCGTGGTGGTTAAGGCACTGGACTCCCACGTAGTGGGTTGTGGTCTGTGGTCTCGACCTGGCGGCTTGAAGCTCATGCCGGCACATGTGCGTGCGCGTCCAAAACCTCAAAAGGAGAATGGAGGAGAAGGGATTGTGGTGTGGCCTCGCTGGAGGGTGGGGTGTCTCTGTTTCTCCAGTGAGCCCACATGCACTATAGCAAAAGTACCTAAAACATTTTTTTCATGGTGACAGTTGCCTAAGGTTGGAATGGATAGTAGTGAGCTCCCCGTCACTGGAGGTGTTTAAGTATAGGCGAGTCAGGAGAGCTGTAAACAGAACCAAGCATCAACAGCACACACACCTAGGCTCCTTGATCTATGGGTTAGTTCCACACAAGGGAATCTCGGTGTCAGTGAGGACTCAGTGGCAGTTTACGAGCAGGTGCCCTGGTATATGAGGTGCCCAGCAGTATATGAGGGGACTGTGTCCCCCAGGGGAGCATCAGAGAACTCACTACGCCCAGCCTGCACCTTTCCCCAACTGCAGGTTTCCCCAGGGCAGGGAGCTCTGGCTCTCAACTCCGTCTCCAGCTTCCATTGTCAGGGCACAGGCAAAGCTTCTGGCTATTGAAGCTCGGGACCCACCCCACACCTAAGGGTCTGCTTTAGCTTTCCGTAGCTGGAGGAACATCTCCCTTTTCTTTTTTTTGGAGAGGTTTTTGCTATAGGGTGCCTGCGCTCACCAGAGAGTCAGAGAGACAGAAAGAGAGAAATCACCCCCAGGGGGGATGGCCACGCTGCAATCCCTTCTCCTCCATTCTTCTCTTGGGATCTTGGGCACACACACGCACCCGGCGTGAGTTTAAGCCACCGGGTCCAGGACTTGAACTGTGGTCGACTACATGGGAGTCCAGAGGCATAGCCATTATGCTAACTGCTGGTCCCCTCTAACATATTCCTTTATTTATTTATTTGTTTGTTTGTTTTTTGAGAGGTTTTTGCAATAGGGCGCATGCACTCACCAGACAGACAGACAGAGACAGAAAGCGAGAAATCACCCCCCATGGGGGATGGTCACGGTGCAATCCCTTCTCCTCCATTCTCCTCTCGGGATCTTGGGCATGCACACACACGCGCCCGGCGTGAGTTTAAGCCGCCAGGTCTGGGACTTGAACCGCGGTTGACTACGTGGGAGTGCAGCGACATAGCCATTACGCTAACTGCTGGTCCCACATCTCCCTTTTCTGAGCTCACGGATGAAAGCACTCTTCCCGCTTCCTTTCACAGGTCAAATATAATATCAAATGCACTGGCCAGAGAGAGGCTGGAGTGCGAAAATGCGTTTTAATAAAACCCCATTGATTTTTGTGGGTGCAAGTCGAGGAGACGCACCTAAAGTGTTCCACCCCCTGCCACCTCCCCCGCGCCCTCTCCCGACCTACTCCGGGGCGGCCAGACATTGATTGGCTTGCTAGATAATAGATCGTGCCAGCTCTGGGGACCTCTGGGGACCAGCGGGAGCTGGGAGAGTCGCACGCAGCAGCCCGGCCCGAGTTAATCAAAGTCGCGACAGGCTGGGCGCGGAGGAGCTGCCGGCTGCGCAGAGCGGCGGCGCGGCGGCACTGCGTGGTTACTGACAGGTGCCGCCACGCCGCTCCCGCTCCCGCTCCCGCTCCCGCGCGCTATGTGGACGCGGCCGCGGCCGCGAGCCGGAGCCAGAGTCCAGGCTAATCCCAGCCGGCCGGCCCAGCCTGCGCTCCCCGGGCTGCGAGGAAGCGATGCCCGCGCCTGCTAGTCCGAGGTGAAGGCAGCCCGGCTTGCCTGGCCGCGCAGAGGCCGTCCTGTTCCGCCGGGGAGGCCATGCGCTAGGAGCAAACATGTATGGGAATTACTCGCACTTCATGAAGTTTCCCGCTGGCTTCGGCGGTGAGTACCTCGCTGCGGCTTCACGTGCGGACCTGTCTGCAGAGACCCAGAGGAACCGGGGTGGACGGATAACCGGGCTGGCGTTGAAATCGGGGAGCGCGTCTGGCTGAGAGGCATGGACGGCGTGAGAGAGAACGAGGGAGGGATGGTCCCTGGCCGAGCCGTCTGCCCGCCGGGACAGGAATATGGGGCTAGCCTGGAGAGAGTGTGTACACCACAGCTGGGAAGGGGTCTGGGCCAGAGGGCCGGTGAGAGCTTTGTTACAGCCGGCGTGTTTGTGGGGGTGTGTAAAGGGGAAAAGTTAAAGGGAAATACCACCGTGGACCTATGACTCAACTAGTAATGAGATAAAAAAAAAAAACACAACAAACGTGATTAGGACGGTTTTGCTTATATTGCGTGTCCCGGATACTTTGTAATAAGAGCGTGATTGTTTTACTTGGATGCAGATTTTGCTATAATTGGATTTTTAAAAAAGAAAACACAGCCCTGGAGTTGGCCACGTGTTTTCCTTCCTCTGTTTTCTTCCCTTTTGATTTGCTAATAATCCCTTCTCCCCTCCCCTGCTGCTGCCCCCAATTCCCTTGCAAAAGTCCTGCTGCCTCCACTCTGGGGGGTTGAGATGTGGGGGTGGAGGGTCCAGGTTCTTGGAACAGAGAACTGGTAAACAGAAGATCAAGTCCCCAAGCCAGGCGGGGCAGCTTGGTCACACTTCACAGAAGCTTCCAGAATCTGGGTCTGCAGGCTGCCTCAATGCCCTGGCACACCCGTCGGAGAGGTCCCTTGGTTCCGCAGCCGGAGCGCCTGGCCGCTAGCTCCCAATAAAGGAAGCAGCCCAACCGGCTGGCCTTTCACGTCAGCTGGGCCCCGGCTGCTCCTGTTCTGGGAGCCCAGGGGGAGTTTTGCGCTGTGGGTTCTGGAAGGCAGGACAAAGCAGAAATTCTTGCGAGGTCTTGAGAACTGAGACGGCCCCCCTCTCCCGTACTCCTCTGTGAGACTGAGAGCCAATTCGTGCCAGGGTTTGGGGCTGGAGCCTGCCTACTCCGCTGGGCAGAAGGTGCGGTGGGACAGCGCAGGGTGGTCTCCATCCGGAAGGCATCAGACGAGGGGCTGCTGTTCTTGCAGGGTTCGCTGGGCACAGGGCTGGGCACTGGGAATATGAATGGAAATGAGGCAGCTCTGTGGACCTGGGGAGTCTCAGTAAACACACATAGCAGGACCGCACAGGGCCACGGGAGCCACGTGGATGGTACGAGGAGGCTGCTGCTTGGACCGGGGGCCCTGGCGATGTTCCAGAGGAGATGCTCAGGTAATCTGGGCCAACCTGGTAACCGAGTGAGCGCGGTGGCCGACTCCGGGGCCTGGCCATTTGATCTTGGGTTGTAGTTGGAAGCTGGGTGTGGACAGCCTTCTCAGCCCCCGTCTCTGTCCCGTTCAGAGCAGACAATGTATTTTCCGTTGGAGTTGAGTTGTTTGAGGAGCACGCTTGTCCCCAGGCTCATCCTCAGCCGATCCCCCAACGTCTGTGAGAGTATGACTTCATTAATGCCCAAGAGACACTGGGACAGATGCGAGGGTCAGAGGTAGAAAGATTTAGGGAGAGAGTAACTGGAGAAGGCAGGTTGAGTTTACGGTTCCATCGTGGCTGCTTGCTGGGGACTTGGAATCTTAGCATCCCGAGGGGCCTTGAAGGGCATCTTGGACCTCTTTCTCGTTTTTCAGATGTGTAAACTTCCTGTAGGAGGCAGGAGCTAGCCCGAGGTTGTGTGGGGTTGAGTGGCACAGTGCTTTCAGAAAAGCCCCTGAACTCTAATTTATAATCTTAAAAAAAATTTTTTTTAAAGAAACGGAGAGAGAGGTTGGAAAAGTGAGCATGCAAGCCTCCAGATCCGGGACTCGAACCATGGTTGGCCATGTGGGAGTCGAATGCCTCAACCACCACGCCACCTGCTGGCCCCTTTAACTGATAATCGTATGGCTCTACTCTGATAGAGTGTAGAATGCATTAGAGATCACCGAGCTTGTTTCCCAGTTTTCCCACTTACTGGCTGTGTGACCTTAAGCAAGCTACTGAACCTCTCTGAGACTTTGCGTCTTTGTGTGTAAAAGGGGGTTTATAATCCCATCCTTAGAGCATGTCTGTGAGACTTAAATGAGTTAGCACATGAAAAAGCAGCTATAGTGTTTCCATACATTTAGTACTTCATATGGGCTAATACTTCATCCCTTCGGTTTTGCTCAGACACTAACATGCAAAGTAACTGGAAAACCAGATCTTACTGTAGTGCAGTGAGTGAAGGAGCTGGGCAAGCAAAATTAAGCCCGGGAAGGCCCGCGTATTTTGCTAGCTTAGAGGTTGGTGGCTGCGGGGCTCTGGGCTGATAAGCTTAGGTTTCAGGTAGACGGAAGCACAGTGGTGCAGGAATAGAAGAACTGATGTAACGCAGGGAACGAGAGGCCAAAGGATCACCTGGGTTGTTTAAAGGTCTCTCTTGGGGCCAGCAGGTGGCGTGGTGGTTACGGTGTTGGACTCCCACATGGCTGACCATGGTTCCAGCCCTGGACCTGGAGGCTTGTTTTCTCCTTCTCCCCACCCCCATCTTTTTTTCTGGTCAAGTTAAACAAATAATAATAACAAATAAAATGAAATAAAATAGTTCTTTTAGAAAAGGGTCTCTCTAATGCTACTTTTCCTAGAGAGGAGGATAGTTACTTGGTTACTCTGTTGCTGTTCCCATCGGGACTCGAACCATGGTTGGCCATGTGGGAGTCGAATGCCTCAACCACCACGCCACCTGCTGGCCCCTTTAACTGATAATCGTATGGCTCTACTCTGATAGAGTGTAGAATGCATTAGAGATCACCGAGCTTGTTTCCCAGTTTTCCCACTTACTGGCTGTGTGACCTTAAGCAAGCTACTGAACCTCTCTGAGACTTTGCGTCTTTGTGTGTAAAAGGGGGTTTATAATCCCATCCTTAGAGCATGTCTGTGAGACTTAAATGAGTTAGCACATGAAAAAGCAGCTATAGTGTTTCCATACATTTAGTACTTCATATGGGCTAATACTTCATCCCTTCGGTTTTGCTCAGACACTAACATGCAAAGTAACTGGAAAACCAGATCTTACTGTAGTGCAGTGAGTGAAGGAGCTGGGCAAGCAAAATTAAGCCCGGGAAGGCCCGCGTATTTTGCTAGCTTAGAGGTTGGTGGCTGCGGGGCTCTGGGCTGATAAGCTTAGGTTTCAGGTAGACGGAAGCACAGTGGTGCAGGAATAGAAGAACTGATGTAACGCAGGGAACGAGAGGCCAAAGGATCACCTGGGTTGTTTAAAGTCTCTCTTGGGGCCAGCAGGTGGCGTGGTGGTTACGGTGTTGGACTCCCACATGGCTGACCATGGTTCCAGCCCTGGACCTGGAGGCTTGTTTTCTCCTTCTCCCCACCCCCATCTTTTTTTCTGGTCAAGTTAAACAAATAATAATAACAAATAAAATGAAATAAAATAGTTCTTTTAGAAAAGGGTCTCTCTAATGCTACTTTTCCTAGAGAGGAGGATAGTTACTTGGTTACTCTGTTGCTGTTCCCATCTTGTTTGCCTGCACCAGTTCCGAGGAGACCAGAACGAGCAGCCAAAGGACTCTGTCCCCATTTCCCAGGAGGTAATGAGGGTGGTGGGAGAGGACACGGGGACCCGGGGCTCAGCCAGGACACCCCCTGCCCTCTACCCACCTTGCCCCAGTGCAGCACGTTGCCGCACTCTTCCCTACCGACTGGGTGCTCACCCCCTATGCTCTGTGTACCAGCAATGAGCAGAGGCTCCTGCGAGTTGTGGGAGACGCTGAGGAAGCAGTGTCACCTCAGGATTAGTGACCGTGGACCCGCTGGCCAGGCATCAGAGCATGGTCTGATGAGTGAACAAGAGACCGTCGCGCTGGCCCCTTGGTGCCCACTCAGCTGCAGCGTCCCCACGGGTGCCATGCTACCAGCTCCGGCCCTGCCCCGTGATGCCGAGTGAGGTCTTCTCGCCTCTCCCTCTGCCAAGTCCTGGCTTGCCAGCTGCTCAGTAAGAGGTTTGTTTTCCTGAGATGAGACAGTTGCCGCTTCTCAGAGGACGGCAAGACAAAGCCCGTAATCCCCCATCCAATTGTGCAGTAATCCTCCCGAGCAGGAGGGCAGGGAGAGGGCTCTCACCTCATCGCATCTGAGCTCCAGCTCACCGTGACCCCCGGCCAGCACCACCTCACGGGCCCTGACACCCCCAGGGGCAGGCGCTTTGGTCTTCATTATCAAATGGCTCATGTAGAGGAGGAAACTGAGGCATTGGGAGGTGAAGTCACCTGTGTAGGGACTCAGCCAGCAAAGGGCACAGCCAGGGATTGGAGCCCAGGCAGCTGGCCCCGGAGCTCTGTGAGCTGCGTCTCTGGGCTGACGCACGCGCTCTGGACGCTGGGGAGAAGCCATTGGTGGCTTCTTTTCTGAACCCCCTTGAGCATTGAACATACTTGAGCCTTGGGGTTGAATGGGATGTGCTCATGTGTGCATGCGTGTGTGTATACATATACTAGGACATACAAGGGGACTTTGAAAAGCTCGTGAAAAATTGCAATTAAAGTATGTGTTTAGGGGCCGGCAGGTGGCAGGGTGGTTAAGGCACTGGACTCCCATACGGCTGATCACGGTTTGAGTCCTGGACCTGGCAGCTTGCTTTCTCGTTCTCTGTCTCTCTCTCTGGTGAGTGCACAAGTCCTATAGCACATTTAAAACAATAATAGTAATAATAACCACAATTAAATAAAAAAGAAGGTAGGAGTTTGTTTTGGCACCCCAAGTTGAAACTCCTGTGTGGCGTTTTCACAAGATGCTTTCTCTGTGAAGTTTTTGGAGCCCCCACCCCCTCCGGTGTTTTTCCCCTCAGCAGTCATGTGGGCGGCTAATTGAGACCTACCATGTGCATAAATGCTTGGGGTTTACGAAGGGAAGAGCGACTGTTTATGAGATTTAG